CAATCATAGCAAAAGGTACACTCCACTGCATTTGCATTGTATATTCATGACATTCATAGAAACAAAACGTAAAAGGATTCTAAATCCATATGTCTACTCATCAAACAGGGGGAGACTTGAACATTTTCCTTTTTAAAAAAATCTTTTATTATGCCTATATCAATGCCTAGACATCATAATTTTTGTATCTCTAAGCAGTGCAGGAATATCTGCATTTAATAATGCATGGTTTAACAGTTTACCATAATATCACAAATTTACTATAAACAGTATATTCTATTTACTATTATGATATTCTATTTAAATAATGTGATAGATGCATGAAAATCTCAGAAAAGAGGAAATGAGCTAATTTTTCACAGACCCTGATGTCTCATCAGAAGAAGTAACAAGTGAACAAAGTTGAGTTSCTTATCTCTGCTGACTTATAGCCATAAACAGCAGAAACAGCAAAAACACTGTTGTAAAAAGTCTCTAGGGTAGGCCAGCTTTGGGATGGTCTGTAGAGGTCAGTCTAGCTAATGAAATCTGATGAAATGCTGGGGTGCGAAGGAAAAGCCATCTTTGTTAATGAATGTCCCAGTAATTCATTTTATCAATTATTTATAACTTCACTCTCTTCTTAAAAATCTCTGCTTTTAAGTACGCAAAAATTGCATCATGCTACTGCAATGGCAGTGACTGCAAGGGCAGCAGCACTTTTTAAGCATTTCATGGTGAACCACTACTGCTTTCTGCCATTTCAGAGCACTAAATTGGCTGCCTGTATTGTCAGGGAAACACCAGAGCCATCAGCAGGTGAGCAACAGGACATGAAGGCTCAGGCAGAATCATTTAACTTCAGCCTTTGCCACCAAKGGGTAACACAAGTAGTCAGGTTAAAGAGAAGATTTCTTTTGGAAATTGTAAGCCTGAGGCTTTCTGGCAGGCAAGAGGATAGAGGGGAGTAAGGCCTTACTGAAATAGCCTGCTTTGTTACTGTTACCAAAGACTTGTGTCTTCTTAGGTGCATACATGAAATCGTACCTCCTTCATAGGACTAATGTTATGCAGCTTGTGTTAGAAAAAAAAACAGAACATTTAAGAGATGTATTTGAACCTTACCTAAACTACCAAACTCACTAGCCACACAGGGAGATTAAGCAATCTAGGAGGACWCATTTTCTTTAGACTTCAGATACTTCGTCTTCTTTGGCTGAAAATACTTCCAAGATATTCTGGCACTTTCCCACTTACCTTCAATAGCTAACACACACAGGAGAAAACATAGCTGTTAAAACACATTTTCCAAGCTTGTAAAATACACCCATTTTAAAAGCCTGTAGTTTTTAATTGGTTTGCCCAATGCCACTTATTAAAAGCCACATACTAGAGCCACTAGCTAAAGAACAAATTGCTGCAAAGACAAGTGTCATTTCTTCAGTTAACATTTATTTTGCATATGTCCATAAAAGCACTACATGGAAGCACTATCAGGCAGCACTGATCACGCACAAAGCTTTTTGGTTTTAATATTTATTTTGCAGAAGCATCTATTGTTCCCATCTAGGATGAAAAAATATTGTTGAGAGTTAACATGAAAAACAAGAATTGTCATAGTTTTGTACAAAGCACTTACTGTTGAACATTTCAACAATCCAATATCGTTATCGTATATTGTGTGAGAAAGGCTTTTTATGTTTTCCTAGTTGTCTTTAAAAAAGAAATTTAACACAGTTTTAATAAGTAGTTCTGCTTGAGAGCAACAAACAATATTATTAATTACTAGGGCCGCTTCAATAAAAATGCCTTTTCTGCAGTGGCATATGAAAAGCAGCACATAGTAACATCAGGCATTCCACTTCTTGCAGCAAATGCAGGACCGTACTCTACCTTAGGAGCTACCAAAGCAAATTAGCTACTTTGCATAACACTTTGTTGTTATTCTTTTATGCACATATATTATTTCTGTGGAGGTTCAATGACATAATATTAAGTTGAATCTAATTCAAAAGATAATTTGGGCCAACTATTTTCTTTTTTATAAGTGAAAAAAAAGTTAAATTTAAAAGAAGCAATAAAAAGTATTAAAATAAGTATCCATTTCAGCTTCTGAGTTTGACATTAGATTTCGAAATTCAGTAATATTCTTAAGAGATAAACCACTTCTCCCACATTCCTTCCCCAAAAGGAAGGAAATCTAATAGTGGTTTGCATATGTTTGGCTTAACAGAACACTCATTTTGATATTTAACCAATGATGAAAAGTCTTGATCACCCTTATTTCTTGGAAAGCATATTAAGAGAGAAGAGATTACCTTTGAGATGTTTAGTATTTAAATGTTCTTTGGGAAATCTGCATTAGAGAAGGAGAAAAACTTTCCCAAGGCTGTAAAGCAATGGGATGAGATCAGAGCTCAGGAACCATGTATGTCTCCCCATGTATAATCCTCATCTCTCTCTCCTGCAGCCTATGAGAGGCCATTGACAACTGAAATCCCCCCAGTGAGGCAGTGCAGAATCACAGAACCACAGATCACAGAATCACAGAATATTCAAGGTTGGAAGGGACCTCTAGAGATCACCTAGTCCAACCTTCTCGCTCAAGCAGACACACCTACAGCATGTGGCAYAGGGCGGCATCCAGGCGGGTTTTGAAGACCTCCAGAGCAGGAGACTCCACAACCTCCCTGGGCAGCCTGTTCCASKGCTCTGTCACCCTAACAGTAAAGAAGTTCCTCCTCACCTGGAGACGGAACTTCCTGTGCTCCAGCTTRTGGCCATTACCCCTCGTCCTATCGCTGGCCACCACTGAAAACAGCTTRTCCCCTTCCTCCCTGCATTCTCCCTTCCTGAACTTATACATGTTAATCATATCCTCTCTCAGCCTTCTCTTCTCCAGAGAAAACAGGCCCAGCTCACTCAGCCTCTCCTCGTAYGGGAGATGTTCCATTCCCTTAATCATCCTGGTTACTCTTCTCTGGACCCTCTCGAGAAGCTCCACGTCCCTCTTATACTGGGGAGCCCAGAACTCCACGCAGTACTCCAGGTGCGRCCTCACCAGAGCTGAGTAGAGGSGCAGAATCACCTCCCWTGACCTGCTGGCAACACTCCTCCTGATGCAGGCCAGGATCCCGTTGTCCTTCTTGGCCATGAGGGCACACTGCTCACTCATGGTTAACTTAGTGTCAACCAGGACTCCCAGGTCCCTCTCCGTGGAGGTGCTTTCCAGCAGGTCGACCCCTAATCTGTACTGGATGCCCCTTCAAATCTCTCTTTCATGCCAAGAATGTGATTAAGATACAGGCTGATGCTGTTTAACAGGCTATACACAGGCCCAGAATAAGCCTAAAGTGTCTCCTGATCAGTGTCTTGGTATTTTCAGATGCATAATGTAAGGATGATATAATCACATTGCTTCAATATTTTATTGTGTGCTTGTGATTCTAATCAGCCAAATTCTTTGCAGGCAGTGAAGATTTTTTTGAGAGAATTTTCCTGCTTTTCCTACAGAAGAAGAACCAACTTTCCATCACCTCTTGTATATAAGTGTATGTGTATACATACACATATGCACACACACTCTATATATACATATATATGAATAATCTGAATATAAAAGTTTCCTACTCATAGCAAAATCTTCCCAAAAATATATGATTACTAGTAACAGATTCACCTTTCCATGAAGAAAAAAACCCTCACAAATCTGTATGATTGTTCATCTGCATAAACATTTATAGCAAAGCAGGAGAAATGAAAAGGCGTTGCAGTCAGAAATATATACCTGAAGAAAATGAGATTTTTTGCATATAACTTAAAACCTCAAAGAACGAAAAATTTCACTGTCTACTTTCCCAAAATTATTTGGTTCAGATTCAGAAAGAGCACAAGCTCCTGCTCAGTTTGCTATGCAATGATAGGGATTCATATCTTCTTTGAAAGCATGCAAACAAGTTACAAATTTTTGTTTCATTTTCCCTGAATTTATTTGTTGCTTACTGACATCAAAATCCCTGCAGGGAACTTAACCTTGCTATTTTAGGAACAGTGCTCTAGAGTTTTTCAAGTGTCTAATGCACCTGGATAAAAAGTGCTAATTGTCACCAACTTCCATTAAATGACAGCAGTAAGGCACAAAGTATGCTTGATTTGCAGAGGTTGATGCCACCAGGAGTTTGCGGTAGATTAATAATTGTGCAGATCTCAAATATTCCCCTGGCACTGCCAGTCTGGGTTTCCAATATAATGCCAGATTGTGAGGCCTTTTTTTTTTTTTTTTTTTTTTTTTWWTTTGGCTTTCCTAAACAAATAAAGCTTATGCAATTGCACTGTCTCTCTGTACTGTGTTTGACTGTCCTACCTTCCCACAATAATTTCACTTACTTTCATAGAAGGATAAAGGACAAAGAAGTGATGGACTTAGAGCTTTTGAGRAAAAACAAGCAGCTTGGTAGAGAAGAAAGACTTAGTGCTCAGTCTATACCATGAGCTCTGAAGCTGAAGAGGCACTGAAAATCCACAGCAGCAAAAAGYACTGAGACAAAATCCATGAGCAACCCACACTTCACCAGTTCACCAACTGAACTTCGCTGTTTCCTATGACCCCAGCTTTGTAGAATATGGGCATCCTTGTGATGAAACAAACCCGATCAAGTTTTGCTGGAAGAGTCAGGGAGAGATGAGATACAACATACTCAGCAGGCAGCACGTCTAACATCCGTTCAGTTTAACAGAGAAGGTGTCAGACTAGGTTCCCATTTCAAAATCTATATGGCAAATATCCTATTTTAACCTGAGTCTTTGAGGGTGCATCAGGAGTCAAGTTTTTGCAGCAGTTCATCCCGATGAGTCCAGGGAACCACACTTTCACTTCCTCTTTCCTATTCTTTTGCTCCCTCTCTGCTTGCAGTACACTTGGGCACATACTCTTGTGTATTAAGAGAACCCTTCCTGTGGCATGAAAGCCTCCTGAAGCTCCRGTGACATTGCAAAGCTCGTTTCTGCACGCAGCAGCATGATTATGGTGAAGGTGAGGGCGAGGCTGAGTGAATGTGTTTCAACACTTCTTTCTTGGTATTTATTACTGTACCATAGCATTCCTGCAACCTGGCCTGCTGCTGCTCCAGCTGTTTGTGCAAACTCCTGATTGAGCGCAAAAGCAGAAGTCTTCGGTACATAGCCAGATGGAGACGATACTTCTCCTTTTCCTCCTGTTTCCTCTTTTCTAAGGTCTCCATTACTTTTGTGGTCTTCATCCAAAATGCCTGACCCAGGCTATAGGAGACCATATCATCCTCTGTAACACTGCAAGAATTAGGAGCCCCTGCATGACAGCAACCAAATTTGCTTACTAGYACGGCAGCAACAGTTTGCAACTCCTGAGAGCTGTGGGAAGCCCTTGGAAGCTGTGACTCTTCCAAATTTTGGCTGCGGTCCCAGCAGAGGCTTTCTGGGCATGTAGAGGATGTGTCCTTGTACTCCAGATTGCAGTGACCTGTGATGAGACGAGTCACCTAACAACATATTGTCATCTGTTGAGAGATCCTTGAGGAGCCCAGAGGCTCTGCTTTTTGCCTTGTCTCCAGTGACACACTCTGGTCCAGCAGGGGCTTCTGCCTGAGCCATGGCCAGGCTAGAGAGAATGGAAGGTCTTTCTGACACTGCTGAGTTTGCCTGGACTTCATGGAGACCGGCTAATGAAGGACTGGCAGGGCAAGAGGAGGGTGCTGCCACAACATCACAGCTCTGGAATGACTCTTCATCAGCATTATTTTGGGTTTCCTCTTCATCTCTTGGCATTAAATGGGCTTTCTCGGCCATTTATTGCATGAGCTACAGAAACTTGCTGTGGACAAAGTGGAAGCAAGAGGATTTCATTTCCACACACATTCACATGTGCACACACAGAAGCCCAGTGCAAAGTGACATTTGAAGAAAGACTCTCTTCTATATATTTAAGCAATGGACCTATTACTTTTCTAATAAAACACAACCCTTGGGTCACTTCAGGCCGTTTCTCGTGATTTGCATTAGATGTTCTTTGAGACACAATATTAATCCAATAATAATTAAAATGATATACTGTACTATTAACATTCTCAAATCTTTAAAGCAAAGTGATCTATCCCTGCAGCGCTGCCTGTGCTGACTAATTAAACAGAATACAGTTGTAAATGGGTATTGTAAGCACTTCTCCCATTTACGAACACAGCTYCAGCAAGTGTAGTTTGTAGTGATGGGTGAGTTATCAGGATTGATCAGCTTTAAAGAGATGTGGATGTACCACAAACAGCAGGTTGCATTTAAATTCCCTCTCCCAGATTAATTTGTCTCCCATCAGATTGTTTACAAGGTTGYCTTTTTCCCCTCTATTAATTCTCTCTTAACAGTACAGTTACATTAGCAATAGGCTAGCCATAGGTAGGAAAAAAGCACTTACCAGAGTTAGTGGGGGGGAAAAAAGGGTTTATAGTGCATTGCATCTCTGCATCATGTTTTCTTGAATATGAGTCAGCAAAGCCTGGAACAGAAACATCACGGTGCAGAAGCAGCAGCAGCAACAGCATTGCTCTATTCCACCCAGCAACAACGCAGTGAATCCCAATCACAGAGAAGTGCAGGCTTTGTCTGTTTGTTTTCTTTCTTTTTTTTTTCCTTCCTCTCTTTTCACTTTCCTTGCAAGAGGATATTTCTCCCTTGCATGCAGCTTTTCTGTTACGTTTGAGCATCAAAATGAAAGCCAGGGTCAGAAGGCAATTTTTCATCCCGGGGAAAAAAAAAAAAAAGTGACCTATTCACTCATGATACAGGGGCACAATATATCCAGCCCTTCTCACCTCTTTAAGTTATGGAGTAGCAAATGCATCACACAAAAGAGAACTTAACAGGGATTTTACTGTGTAACAGACTAAAATGGTCCATTAAAATACAGCATTATGTGTTTAGTCTTTTATTTTTGACTGCCCTCCTCTCCAAAGCACTGCAGGCACATCTACTAATTGCAAAGAATACAACAGACGGTTGTTGGTAGTACATGGTTTCAAGTACATGGTTTAATAGTTGTCTACAGAGACAATATTCTGTTCCTTACCTCTACCTTTGTAGCTACTTGCTACAAAATATCTATTTTCTACTATTCTTAACAGGCCATAGTGGATTGGATAATTTATAGTCAGATCATAAGCTTATGAAAGCATGCTGGTAGCAATTAGGGAATAAAATAGACATTGGTGAATTCAGATGTCAGAGATCTATCATAAAACAAAAATTTTGATGACTATAATTTACAGAATAAAATTGTTTATTTGGGCAAACTAGGAGGCATTTCAACAAATTTTGGACAAACTTGGGAGACAAATTGGGAGACAAGCTGGGAGACTGAGTTACATTTCAGGAGAAATGTCTTTTTGCAAAATTGAAAGACTCAAGAGAATGGAATAGAAGATGAGGTTTTGCTTAAATGGAAACATGTAAATTCTTGTTCTGGGATGATATAACAATCCTTTTCTTCTCCTTTACGACTACTACCTTGACAAAAAAGACTCCTACAGTTTAGATCACTTGTGATTCAATAAGTTCATAAAGAGACTTTAGAGATCTTGCATTACTTTCTTTTTTATATATAAGTGCAATATGTCATTTTAGTGGTGCAGAAACACTTTTTTTTTAATGAGTTTTCATCTCTGAGAATTTGTCTCATACAGATAATGCAATTGTTCAATGCCCCACTTCTGGACTTGTTACCCCAGGAAACATTTATGGGAATAAATGTATTATGGGAATAAATTTTTTGCCAAAAGCAAGCAAAAGCTGCTTTTTTTATACCAACGCACTAAGCATTTCAGGTAGGTAAAAGCAAAAGCAAGAATTTCTCCAATTCAGGTTCATCATGTTTTATTAGCAACCACTCACAAGTAGACATATTCATTTGTGTTTCAAGATATAAGGCTTGCAGAGGCACCTGTAAGGTGCTGTTCTTGCACACTCCTGCAAGGTCTATGCCAACAGAAGATTTCAAGTCATTCAACCATTTCAGGTAATGGTCCCAGTTAATGGTCCTTGGCCAACTATAGGCTCATGTCTGTAAGCATGGACTTCAGTGCTCTGTACTTAATGTTTGTGGAATCAGTCCTTAGCCTCTCAGTTATATCTCAACATGTCATGAGAGAGCAGCAAAAGAAAGACATGGAAAAATCACTGTAGTTGGTGATAACAGTTAAATCTTTCTTTCTTTCTTTGGTTATTATAACATTCCCTAGTTTGGAAATATGTGAGGACAGGAAGATGATTGGTTTTTGGCTTTATTAAGTACAAATATTTTATTGAAATTCAATGGGTAATAGCCATATATAATTACAAACAGAAAGCAATAAACATTGGTAAAGATATATTATAATAACCTAGGCCTAGGAAGTTATGTTGTTTCATATTTGGGTTTAAGTAATACTTTTAACTAAGTAGTAAAAAATATTCAATTACTCACTAGTGTAATTCCATATTTTACACTAATTGCTCTTAAAGATCAAAAGACATATTCTATCTATGTGCATTCACATGGCCACCTATGAAATCAATGAGATCCACATGTGTTGCATCTGAAGCCTAATTTTTTCCCTAGAGATTCTTTAAAATCCCTTTATAGGGCAGTAAGTTATTGAAGAAAAGCCATACCTTCCCTTTCTTCTGTCTCCATACCCCAAACATACAGGAGTTATTATAGGTCACTCCAAATTTCACACTGGTTGGTAATAGTATCCCTTGGGGCCACTTGCCTTCCAGGGACTGCTGTCTCTTGACACATCCTGCTTTCACCTGAGTTCACATCTACTCATTTCTGTGATCCTATTACACTAGCAGAAAAAGACAAAGAAAATTGTGCCCAGCTTCTCATTGATGATATTATGAAATTCCCTTGATATTTCAAGGACAGAAAGAAGCATGTCGGGAAATAACTATGCTTTCTAGGTCCTGGGAAAAAGATGTTGTATGCTGCAATTACAGATATAATCATATGTGCAGATAACATGGGAGTTTTTAACAAAAAGCAGAGTGGATACAAGATTTTGCCAACAGGGAAAATTGTCACAGCTTCTGACAAGAAAATCTAGGGATTCAAGTCCATCATTTTTACATTAAGAGTAAAACTAAACCAAACACTAAAACATTCTGACATGACCTGCAAAAAATAACAGGCTTGTTGGCAGTCTCAGCAGACCTGCCTGTTTGAGGTGGAAATCTCAGAAGGGGTAGTTTAGACTGCATTCAAGCTACAGTTGAGTTTAGTTTACAGCTTTGAAAATCTCAAGGCTGTAGTTGGTGAAACAACCAGAACCAAGAAAGGGGTTGAAGACAGCTTTCACTGCAGCATTTCAGCAACTCTGTTTCTAGCTCTTCTTGGGTTTAAATATTGGGCTTTGAATATTCCCAGGGAACATGAAATGACAAATATAATTATTCATAAAGGTACTTCATAAAAGTGGAAAGTGTTGATCTTCCAGAGGCAGCAGCTCTTCTCCCTACTTTCTATCTGAAGAACACTGGTTAGATAGATAGTGATGTGAATCACCACTAAGAACAGCATCATTGCCTGAAGTAGTTTATAAGCTAAGTTCAAAATCCTGCCACCCATTTCACAGAACTTTTTTTCTTGTCTGTTCTTTTTTTATTATTATTACTGAAATGGCCCCAAAGAATTTTTGTAAATCTTGTGCACTCGTATATTTCTTTCATTTAGCACAATAAGCAGTTAACATTTGCACAGAGGCCTAAATGGAAATGGCCAGTGAGTGGGCACAAATAGTAGGGGTTACGTGCAAGATTCCCTCATCTGCAGACACACTGATCTATATCCAAAACCATTCACTCATTTTAATTCAGGACAAATTATTCTCAGTTCTAGAGTGGGCTGAGRTGGGTTCACAGTGGACAAATAGGGGAGAAATGCTTGAGTGTTCACAGCATCTGCAGCATATGACCTGTGAACTTTAGGAGTTTAAATGGAAGTCTTTTTGTTGACTTCAGAAAGAAATGAATCTTGAGAATGGTTAGTTTATCTCACATAGCTTTTCATCTTAAAATGGAGAGAATAATCTTGTCTACAATTCATTACAATTATACTGAAAAGGAAAATCTGATTAGATGAATAAAAAACTGCTGGATTGCAAATATTACCTTCCCTTAAATGTTGACTGGGATGTTAACTGACCATCATCAGTATGACATTCTTTCGTTATTTCTCTTTTATCTCAATCTGGCTCGATGTCCAACATTTTGTTCAAGAAAAAAAAAAAAGAAAAAAAAACCACGAAAATGTGGCAAGGGTAGAAAAAAGATTTTAAAGTAGGAATATTGTATAACTTGAGATACTATGAAAGACTTCCACTGTACAAGAGACTAAAAAATTCTTCCCTCAGAAAAGACGGTACTTGAATAACCTCCAGTATTAAAAGTTTTTCAAATATAGCTCATGTTTTATAAGAGCTCCATGTCTCAGAAGTAAATACTGGATTGTCCAATTTAGCTGTTAGATTTCAGATGTGAACATAAGAATGTAGACAACACWCATGTTCAACTACAATTCATATCCGATGCTTGTTGAGAGAAGAAACCTCTCTCTGTTAAGGAATATGTAAACAGACTACATAATTTTTTGATAATCGATGCTTATGTTTGTTTTCAGCTTGACCCTCAAGCGTAACTGACAAACTGATGCATATGAAAGAAGAAAACTAAGCTGTAAGAAAAATAAACAGACCATTGTGAGAGAGGGGAAAAGAAAACTATGCAAGAAAAACTTCAGGAAATGGGACTAAGCTATAAATGGACAGACAGGTAATTATTTGGTGCGGCTCCACAGCTTAAAATGTATTTACRGACCATTGCAGAAGCTGAACATATTTAAAAACAAAAATTCAACAACTTTTAAATTTTCTGTCTTAGTTCTTAAGGCAGAATAGTATGAGGGTAAAGTATTAAAGAAATTGTGTTCAATAAGATTCTTTTTTTTTGATAAAGTAGTTACTGTGACACGGTTAGAATAGTTAAGTGACTGAAGAAAAAAAAAAAGGGAGATGTATTCTTATGATCTGAGCCTAATCATTTCTGCAAACCTACTTAAGTTTATTCATCACCATCTGAACACCACTGGAAATATCAGACTGAAAAGGCTGGATCTACAAACACCACCATAAAAAGAAAATCTATTTTCTCATTAAATATACCTTCATGCTAAGCCTACTGTGGTATAACCTATTTATCAAACCTTGTGTAGCATCCAAGAAAACCAGCCTTACTGGTAATTTTTGTACAGATTTACCCACTATCATTTGCATGATTACACAGAGCCAAAAATTTGTGCTGAGMTCAACTGGGGATGAGGTAAAAATCATGTTTGCTCAACGCTTAATGTCATTAAAGCTGTTATTCACATAGCTGAGATGGATAAGACTAAGTACCAAAGAGGTTACTGTATGTTCTTAGTTTTGCAATATAAG